CTTCTTGTGGGTCTCTTTAGGTTTATCTCACTTGACATTAACTGAGCTGCTTGGATTTGTAGATGCATGTTTTTTCAAACTTGAAGCATTTTCAGCTCTTATTTCTTTTTCCAAATTATATCTCTAACCCTTTCATTTTTCTTTTTCTGGGATCTTCATAACATGCATATTGGTCTACTTCATGATGTCTCATAAGTCCCTTAAGCTCTGCTCACTTTCTTTATTCATTTTTTCTGGTCCTCAGACTTGGCGATTTCAAATGCCCTCTCTTCAGGTTTGCTGATTCTTTTGACTGCTTGCTGAAATCTACTATTAAACTTGTAGTGAATTTTTCAATTCCATTATTGTATTTTTCAGCTCCAGGATTTCTATTTGTTTCCTTCTTATAATTTCCATCTCTTTGTTCATATTCTCATTTTGTTCATGTCATTTTACTGATTTTTTTTCTTTAGTTTTTCGTCCATGCATTGTGTTAGCTATTTGAGCATATTTATTACCATTGCTTTAAAGTCTAGTAAGTCCAATGCCTATGTGTCTTCATGGAAAATTTTGCCAGTCTATTTTCTCCCTTTGAATGGGCCATGTTTTTCTGTTGCTTTGTATAAAACTGTGATTTTTTGTTGCTGTTACAACAAACTGGACATTTGAAAAACAGCAACCTCTCTGTCTTTGCAGACTGGCTCTGTGTTAGGACAGTCCTTCACTAATAAACTGGGCATGTCTGAGTCTTAGGGTCAGCCCACGGTGAAAATTTAGGGTCTTCTCATGCATCTTGCCTAAACATAGATCTTGCATAGGCCTGCACATGTGGGTGTGTGTGTGTTTTATTGTTCTGTGTCCATGGCTGATTTTGAATGTCTTACTGTCCCAAAGAGTCTTAATCCAGCTCCTTTTTAGAGGCTTATTGGTCTATTATATGATCCTACCCGTAACCTCTTGGCCCAGGCATCTGTGGGCCTGTGGTCCCCCTGCAGCTTTCATGTGCTGTGCCTTTTTCTACCTGAGATTCAAGTCAGGTAAAATGTATCAGTCATTCAGGAAGCCTCCAGACAGGTTAAAGCATTGCAAATTAGTTCTGCTTTGTGCCCTCTGGTTCAGGGAGGACGTGGGTTACTGAGCTGCCTCCTGCAGATCAAGACTATGCTGTAACACGGGAACGGTAGGTCGAGGGTGAGTTAAAACACTGAAAGCTACCATTTTGAATGACTTTTTCTTGATCCAGTGTTAACTTAGTTGCTGTAGACCTTTACCTATTTTACAGAGCTCCTAAAAAGTTACTTTGGCCAGGTTTAGTTGTGTGAGCTTCTGTTATTGTTGTTATTATTTGGTGTCTCTGGGGAAAACAAGAGCTTGGAACTTTCTAGTCCACCATTTTCCATTGTCTCTTACTTTTGAAAGGCTCGTATTTGATGAGAGAATTGCACATGGAAAGTGACCACATGCTATGTTGGAGATACAAGGTGCTAAAGAAAGAGAGAAGGAAGGCCTGGTTTTGTTGGGAGCAATCAGAAGGCTTCCTAAAGGAGGAATAGTTGAGCTGAGCCCCTAGGGCATCCCAGGTAAAGGAACCATTGGGAATGCAAGCAGAGGCTTGAGAAGGTTAAATTAAAGGTGCTTGGAAAAGAATAGAATTCGAGAAGTGAGGAATGCAAAGGGACAAAGAGGTGCAAAGGCATTGATGACTAAGGAGGCTGTTTGCCAAATCAGGTAGATCACATTTGGTCTTGAAGGTGATAGGAACTCTTGAAATTAAGTAGGGCAGTGACGCAAGATTTGCCTCTGAGAACACATGATCTGGCAGCAGCGGCTTGCAGGATGTGTTGGAGCTGACCAAGGATGGAGTGAGGTCACTATTTAGGAAAATCCTACATAGTTGGGAGAAATTGTGGTGGTCAGAACCATGGCAGTGGTGATGGGACAGAAAGGAAAGAGATATTTAGAAGACTTGACAGGACGTGTAGTGACGTGTTATGGTTTGGGGGTGGGAGCATGACACAAATGGTGGTACCATTTCTGAGTCAAAGGAGCCAGTTTGAAGAGGAAACAGATTGATTATTTTTAAATTATTAATGTTTACATCACATAAGACATTATGGCATATTGCTTTGTGATTGAAAAAAAATAACAAAACTTAGAGGATAGGCCCTCATTGGCCACCTGCCCCAATCTCAGCTCTTCCCTCTGAGGTCAGCCACATCAGCCTGGTGCATATTCGTTCAGGCCTGGTTCTGTGCATTTTGATACTGCCCCTAAGAAAATGGAGAGTATCACTTTTTAGATGTCTGACTTACATATTTCACACTTGATTGTTTTCCCATACAACCAGTATTTTAGAGGTTCTTCTGATCAGTGCACATAAGGCTACCTCATTCTTTCTGACAGCTACATAGTAATCCAGAGTATACTGTTCCAGATTCACTAAATGTCCTCATCAATGAGTGATTTTTCCTCCAAATTTCCTGTTCTAACAAATGATACTACAATGGATATAGTTTTACAAGTAACTTTATAAATTGGTGTCATTTTTGTTTCTCCAGAAGTAGTCACTGAGACAGGAGATTACGGGGTCCCAGGGTGTACGCTCTTACTGCTAAACCGCCTTCCCCATGGCTGTTTTGGTTATGTGGTATTCACAAGTGCTGCTTACCCCACACTGTCAGTGCTCGACATGATCAAGATTTTTTCTGAATGATAACAAATATATCATTGCTTTAACTTGCATTTCTGCGATCATGGGGGAGACTGGGTATAGCTCTGTTGCCATTTGTGTGTCTTCTGTGAATTGCTTTTGTTTTTATCTTTTGCGTAGTCTTCTGTTGGGCTATATTTTTCTTACGGAGTAGTAAAAAAATATTTTATACTCCATCTGTTTTATATCACCAATATCTTCTTTAGTCTCTTCTTTATCTGTTGTGTTTGTTTATGATGTGTTATCAATTTTGATGGAGGCAAATGTATCGGCCTTTTCCATGATGGCTCATGTGTGCCAGGACTTGCTTAAGAAAAGCGTTGTGGACGCCTGTCGTCACATTCATATTTGTTGCGTATTTCCTTCTATTGTTTTGATTTTTTAAGGTTTGAAATTGAGGTGTCAGTGTGAAAGTTAAATAGAATTATCTAAATGTCAGGTGATTGTTCCAGAACGGAGCAGAAGTCAAAATCTACACTTAAGATACAGATTTGAGGCCTTTCGGAGTGGAGGTGTGTGAAACTACAGGCGTACACCAGACCGTCCAGAGAAAGCAAGTGCAGTTAGAAAGAAGTGGGCCAGGGACACCGATCAGAGGTGCATCTGTATTAACAGAACGGTTGAATAGAGCGAATTTTAAATGGCCAGAAAGGTAGAAGGAAAGCCAGGAAATGACGGATAAAAGGAACCCAGGAAGGCAAGCTCTGACACGCTTCGATAAGGCTTGAGTAGCCACTGCCATCCATTGAGGCATCCGTAACAATTGCTATGTGCTTACCTTTTTAACGGTGGTAATAACTTCCCCACACAGCTGCCAGGTCCTATTCACTTTTATTCCTAGAAGGGAACGTGTTCCGTGTCCATAGTGGCGTTCGTCCATCCGACTATGAACCTACCAGTTAATCTGTGAAATCTGATGTTATGGATAAATTTTGAAGTCTTCGTCTTAACCTAAATCAATGTAGCAGAGCAAATGTTACGACTAAGAAATTTGAGACAGTGCCGTGACCTTGTCACTGTTACATTCGAGATTCGCAAGGCCGCAGGACAGAGAGACAGAGTCACCGAGGCTGTAATTATCAAAAGGAGTTTTATTGTCTAGCTCGAGCTAGGGTCCGAGCCCCAGCGCAGTGGCCTCTTCTCCGGACAGGGACCCTCCTTTTTATAACTTAGTTGTTTACACACTGGTCTTGCATCCGCCCCTACAGTGATTCTTACTTCATCCTGCCCCTGATAGGCCCTAACCTGTTCCGGGTCCTAGCTGGGAGACTCAGGTTTCCGAGCTCTTTGTCTTTTTCCTCTGCATCCCATAATATACTCATAATGCCTTGCGGTTAGCAAACAGTAAATAGAAGCTGGAAGGTGTCCATTGTCCTTATAGCCCAGTATCTTACAGTCACTCCGCTGTGTGACCCACGCTGGAGAACTGGCTTCTAGTTCTGCCTCTTTGGGTCCTGGCCTCCCGCAGGCCGGGCTGCCATCCCTGAAGGCGCGGCTTTAGGAGGAAAGTGGGCTTTTGCCCGTAGAATTGTGCTTATCTGAGAAGGATGCGGGCGTGTTCGCACACACCAACAACTCTTTAATGTGCCCTCTAACTACCTCAGAGCCCGGGTATCGGCCACGGTTCTCCTGACGTTAGTGATGCTGCAGATTTACGAAGCACCTGTTTTTGAACTGTCAGTCTGTAAATTGTCTGTAAAATCTAGTCCACAGGGTGAAAGGATGGAATTATTCATAAGACGGTTTTTACTCCGGCTCATGGTGAAATTACTCACTCAGGGTATAATTAAGTCATAGACACACTGGCCCGAATGTGGACAGAGATGGGAAGGAAATAATTCCTTTTCCAATTTGGGTGCTTTCTGTTGTTCCGGTAGCATCTGGTGTGTTAATTCATGAACAGAGGGGAACTCAGGGTCCCTGTACAGGGAAGAGAGAGGTGTTTTTGTTTTTCGGGAGAACTGGAGAACAACTGCCTGGGGAGATGGGGGATAAGCAGAGTTTATAAAGTTTAAGGTTGTAAACAGGATGACAAGACTGAAATCTGATGGGTAAGGAATAAAGTTGGAGCCTGAGAAAAGCAAATTACAGCCAAAGGGGAGGGGTCAGGTGGGCTGTTTGTAGACTGAGCAGGCGAAGGGTAGGGGGTGTTGGGAGAGGCCAGGCCCGGCTGACCCCCACCGTGAGCAGAAGTCCTGACCCCGGGCCTGGCCGGCCATCCCGTGTGAGCCGTGCTGTCGCTGAGCAGTGGCGTGTGGATGTGGCCTGGTACGCACACGCCCAGGCCAATGAAACACGCACACTCACACGGTGCAGACAAAGGAAAATTTATTGAGACAGACAGAAATGCACCTACTCAGGACTACAGTTAAGTATTTACTATTAACCAAAGAGTCGTGTTCACATTCCAAATAAGTCTACGTGGAAAAGCATTCAGAATTTACTAGGTTTTGCTACATCACTATTTCATCTATAATAGGGACAACAAACTGACACTCAGGATCAGATGGGCTGTCATTACAATGCTACACATTTAACAGGGACAGACATAAGCGACTTTTGAGAAAAAGGTATAAAAAGACCAAAACCACGCACTGTAAAATGGCCTCTTGGATGTTACTGTACAGTGTGGTCAAGGCTCAAACAAAGAGTGGATGGCATTCTGGGAAGAGCAGAGGGGCAGACCTGGACACAACTGTTGTCATTTGCTGCTGCGGGTAGAGAAATAGGCGTGAAGAAGGAAAAATTGTTACAAAACCTCAAATTCAGTGTTAAGATACTTCTATGCCTAGAATATTTGTAGGGAGGAGAAGACATCAATGTGGCAGGTAACTAGCCAGTGTGGAAAAAAACTCTGGGTTCTAAGTTGGATGCCAAGGAAATGGTAGTAAATTATTTACTAAGGACTTTCCAAAAGTGGGTTAGTGAGGATTCAGCCTAATGCCTATCTCAAGGGATTGGATTATCATGACACTATTCTTTAAAAAAAGAAAAAGATCAATATTTTATGTATACTTGGCCACTGTAACTAAAGAGCTCCTTCCAAAAAGAGGAAAATAAAAATTCCACTTCTGAGGACAAGATCAATTGATCTAATCTTTAGTACTTTCCATAAGCACTAATGATCTTTTAAAAACCTAATGCTGCCCTGCCAAAGCGAGGCATGAAAAGTAGTGTTCATGTTGCTCCAGTGATTTGGGGTTCCAGTCTGAGGAGGGCTTTGTATTTAATATTTTAGTGAATCAAAATATCTTCTTGGAATGTCTCTGAAAGTGGCAGCTTAGTACCTTACTGGGAATTGTCTGTTGAGCACTCTTCTCCATCATTAAGTTAATGCTAAGGATCTTTAAGTGTCATCTTAATTTGACACTTGTCATAAGATAATTAGGCAAATTAAAATCAGTGGTTCCCGCTATGCGTAGAAGTTTTTCTAAGTAAAATCAATTTGTCGATTTTAAGTTGTTCTCTTGTGCATTTTTGCAAGCTCAGAAGACATAGTCATAGAGGTTTTCTTTGATGGACTAAACGGAGGTTTTGTAATATGTCTTGCTTTCGTAATATAATCTCAAAGTTTTGTTCAAGTGAGAAAAAAGATACTGAAACAGAGGTGATAGAGTTGAGATCCCAATACAGAGCTCACCTCTGGTCTCTCTCTAGGGGAAAGTCGATTAATACAGAACCTCAGGGTCGTGGTTTGACTTGTATCTACCGCGCCAAAGGACTTAGCTATATCAAGGATGTGACTTTCTGATCTGAGACCAACTCTTATTATCCAGCCAGAGCAAGGACTGGAAAATGCTAATTTGGGATAAGAGGTTGGTCAGCTGCCAGTGATCATAGTTTGGTTATGAATCTATTTCTTGCCTGAGTTTATAGGGTTGTCTTGTGGATGGCTGAAGCTCGTGGGGAAGGCAAGAGACAGAGATGTGGGCCAGAGACCCTTGCTTGGGTGGCTGACTAGGGGAACTAGCTGGGGCAGGAGCTTGAGGGCCACTTTGAAGATAGCTCTTTGGTACTTGTATCTGGGGCAGCTGGATAGGGAGAGAAATCCTAAAGAATGCAGAGATGACAACCCTACTGAATTAGCTCTTTGAAACCCAGTGCCAGTTTTCATGTGCTATCATGAAGTTCTTTGCAAATGTTGGTTGGTTTTTAAAAACAATCTGTACAGCTTTTGTACCCTCATGATTTGCGTGTAGAAAGGGGTCAAAAGTAAAACAACGAGTGCAGAATACTAAGCTGTCTTCTCGGGGAACAGGTGTGTGTGCGCACCTTAGCAAAAGGCCTTGAGTAGGCAGGGAAGGAAGGAACCTGCTGCAGACAGGACTGTGCAGCCCGAAGGGGTTTGAGCGGAAACGAAAGAGATGGCTCGTGAGGCTGCCCACGTGGGAGTAGCATGGCTTCTGTGAGAAGGGGAAAGCAATTTAGCTGGATGGAGGCTTATCCATATCAAAGAGGCTTCCAGTAACTCAGCTGATGCGTGGGGAAGAAACCTCCTCAGCCTCAGGCTATAAGTGCCAACTGTTAGTGCAAAAAAAGACTTCAATATAAATGTCTTATTCCAGAAATTTTGTTCCAGGTCTGGACAAGCTGACAAATTTATAATTGTTTGTCAAATGAGTTTTTAATAGATCCCCACTTTTTCTGAGAGGTGTGTGTACAGCGCATTACACACAGTCTCTTCTATACATACATTTTTTGCATGTACAGGGAGAAGCATCCAGACACCAATTTTCAATAGTGAAAATGAATTCCCCAAAGAGACTCTTGACTGAATTAAGGCTATTGTTTGTAGGAAGCTAGATCTAGTGATGTGAAAACTAATTTTCAATAAACACCGGGACTGGTAGGGGCAGGGAAGAAAAGGTACAGTATATTTTTTTTTCCACGACATCTACAGACACAAGAAAAGCACTTAGACACTGTAAGGCTGGGGACCATGCTGTAGTGACCACCAGTGTGGGTAATAAAAAGGGTGAGAGGGTGGGGGCTCCCTGCACTGTCAGAATTCCAGGTGAATCACATGCTTGTTGCAGAAATCTCACGGGCGGGAAGGAGGCTGCGATGCAGCCAGCCACGTCCCTGTCCGGACTAAACATAACACCCTTTTTCCCGCCCAGACAGAATGTTCTGGGAACAAGCACTGGTCTTCCAAACCTTAGGCTGGGTTTAGAGAGTGACAGACAAGAGACCTTGGTGCCTTGGAGTCTTAGATACAAATGCAGGAATAGGAAGTAACTTGCAATTTTGTGCAAAACTCATGTCCTCTGTCTTGCGGGCACTACCATATGTACCCGACCTCATCCTCTTTGTCGTCGTCCTCGTCCTCATCATCCTCCGTCACAGCCCGGGTGTGCACCCTCAGCTTCCCCTCTTTGTCCTTTGGTCCCCGCGCCCGTTCATCCTCTAGGTCATCGAGCAGGACCACGGAGCTGCCACTGCCAAAATCCCCTGAGGTTTCCTGCTCCTCTTCTGAAACACGCAGAAAGACTTGGGGTTAGTTTCTGCTTATACCTCATGACCCCCATCAGGGGTTCCCTTTGCACGTGACTTAACTATAAGGCAAAAACATGCAATTTGTTTTCTAAATGTCAAAAAGTATCCCTGGGCAGGAAGCGTCCCTACCCCACAGGGGCCAGTCTCTGGAACAGGGACTGCAAACTTTGTTCTGATATGGGCCCCGGAACTCTTGAGATGCGTCTGCCTTCTCAGGAAGTTTACAATGCTCAGTGAAAGCGGCGGCAGTCTACAGTGCTCCTAACTCTCAAAAACTGTCATCCAACCGTCTGGTCAAGGTGAGTTCCTGCCACTCAAAGCTAGCTATGCATGAGCTCTATGACTTCAGGGTTACTGTGTTTCCATTGTAAACTCACAATAGACCAGAGCTACCACTTGAAATTCTTCTACCGTGAGGCGCCGCGGGGCTGATGCAGAAGGCCTTACTCACCGCAGCTCACAGCACCCTGTTTCCTGGTGCCGGCCAGCTCGTTCCCGTACTTATCCACACACCAGCACTGCCCCGTGCTGCCGTGGCACTGCGTGGCTTTGTAGTAGCCCTCCTCATTACACCGAGGTATGAATGCGCCTGCATGAACAAAGGTCCAACTGTAATCAGAGATACTCAACATGAAGACCCTCCTACACAGGGGAAAAGCCTTGCCCAGCAGACAGAATATTTGCTGTAGGGAAAGGGGCTGCGTAGTTACTAGGTAAGATTATAGGGCTGTTGGCCTTAAGGGCCCAAATGCATTAAGCTCTGTGGAGCTCAGTTTTTAAACAGGCATGATGATAGCTAATGTGTTTTGAACACATCTATATGTTCTGAGCACTGATCTAAACCATGCAAGTGTATGTACATTCACACATGCCATTGTTACCTTTTAATAAATAGAAAACTGAGGTCTAGGAAAACTCACCTTTCCAAGGCACCTGCTAGTAAATATCAAGTCCAGGATTTGCATCCTTTAATCTGACTGTACCGTAGTGCCTTTCAAACCCTTATGATGAAGAACCTGTTTTTGTTTTTCTAATTTCCAATCTTTCATGGACCAATATTTTGCCCAGGTGCATAAAGTGACTATGTGAAACTTCTATAAAACTTTCTAAATGCACCAATTTCTCTCCTTAGTGCTGACTTGTGACAAATGTTTTATGAACTCCCAGTGCATGAACCACACAGCTCCAAGCCGTTCTGCTGCCATTCTCCTCCTAAGAAAGAGGTGTGCTAGCCAGGGCCTTCACTGCGTTATTTTATTGCAATGGCACTAGAAGGTGTGGGTGCTATTTCTTCCTTTTTGGTTATAAACAAAAATAGTGATAAATTGGAGGTAACAAACTGTCCAGGACTAAGCAGGATTCTTTAGTTCTTATTTTTCTCTTTAAATCTTGAATGAGTACTGTTATTAGTTACATTTTTTAACACTGGAGACAATACCAGTTTTTATGCTTTATATACTTTCAGTGAGATGAATTACTGGCGTCACGGTATTAGAAAATGCTACCTTTGCTTTCCTGACACTATTTGGTCATGATACATTATTATTGCAGTACTGCTGCTGATTCTGTTTTCTGGTCCTTTTGAAATTATGTTACTAAGTGATGAAGGCATGTAATTGTTTTGGTACTTTTCTATACTCCAGGCATTTTTATATATGTCTTCCCTGAAGGGTTCACCCATAAAAATAGTTTGGGCCTGGTGCCTATTTGGGGAGATAAAGGTAGCATTTTGATTTTGAGTATCATTTCATGGTTTTGATTTATTTGAGCCAAAATTTGGTAACTAATAATGTCCATTTCTTCAATGTGTTCATAATTGTTATCATATAAATTGGTTTACACCAGTGTTTTTCAAAGTATGGTCCCGAGACCAACAGAATCACCTGGAAACCCCTTAGAAATGCAAATTCTTGGACCCAACCTCAGACATCCTCACTGAGTAGGGCCCAGAAATCTGTTTCTCAATAAATCCTCCCATTGCTTCTGATGGACACTGAAGTTTGCGGCATTCCTGTAGATACGAGTTTATGTCCTAGTATCAAATTCATGTCGGTATTTGAGCCTTTCGTGTTCTGAAGTTTGTGTATTTCATTTGTTTGAAGATATCTATTTTTATAAGTGCATTTGAAGCTGTGAAGATTCCTTTAAATTTCAATTTAGTACACAGGACTTGTTTTTATTCGGTTCTAAATATTTTGTAGTTTCTACTTATCTTTGATCAAAAGATAGGGGTTTTGGTAATCTAGTACTGTATCCAGTGAGTTTGATCCATGGTCCTTTATTTCAAATTTGTTGTGGTATAGTCCACGGCAGATATTTCATGTGTGTTAGAAAGACTACATATATGATTTTGGATATGACAATTTCTCCTTGCAATTCTGTTTTGTTTTAAAGTTACGAATAGAGTCATGGACCACATAATAATGTTTTGGTCAATGACGACATACTACACATATGATAATGGTCCCCTAAGATTATTTTGATAGATTTAGGGGGTTGAAATGGTTTTCTATTACATGGATGAATTGTATAATGGTAAAGTCAGGGCTTTCAGTGTACCTGTATTGTACACATTGTACCTGTACTACAATTAGATATGTTTAGATACACAAACACCACTGTGTCACAATTGCGTATTCAGTGTCATAACATGTTGCAGAGGTTTATGGCCTAGGAGCAATAGGTGACACCATCTGGGTTTGTCTAAGTAACGTTCTGTAATTGCACAGCAATGAAGTCGCCCAACACCACGTTGCTCAGAATGTGTCCTGTCATGAAGGAACTCATGACTGTATATCAATTGATGGCATAAAAAATGGTATAAACATTTCAGCAACATGATAATGTTATAAAAATGGGTATTTACCATTTTTAACTTTACTGTGATTGCATCATTGTTTGCTCATCTTTGCCACTATGTTTGTTTCGTATTTGTCATTTTCTTCCTGAAAAAACTAAACAAATTCTTACCACCTTTTAATCACTTTGTCCAGTTTGGAATTTTAAACATTGTTATAGGTCATGTGTAGTTTGATTTAGCAGTGTGCCAATTTCTTTTTCACAATTGCATCTGAATAATTTTTCCTGGGATCATTTGTCTAGTAGTTTAAGTCTGTATTTAGTAAGCTTATAAATTTCATACATTTCAAGACTAGGTTCAGAGTTATTTCCTCTCAGCACTTTGAAGATATTAAGTCAGCATTGCCAACAGGAAGTCCGAAGTCCATCTGATTTTCCTGGAGGTAATGTTTATAATAGTTTTAGTTTTCCTTATACAGTATTTGCATACATATGTGTGTTTCACAATTATGTGCCCTGGGTGGTAATATTATTTCTGATGTATTTTTTAGAGTGCCTGTGTTTTCAAATTTACCTTTTTGATCTCAGAAAAGAGTGTGACATGAGAAGAAGAGATTTTTACTATTTTGAACAAGGAATAGCCTGTGAGTGGAGTATTCAAGAGTAGATCTTGGAGTCAGCTGAATCTGAATTTAAATCCAAGATGACCAGGTTCTCAGAGCTCAAGGATGGGAGGGCCCCTGGAACACCTTATCTACTCTTCAGGAAAGGCTACTGTTAGGCACAGCAATGCCCACCCTCTTACTTAGGAGCTCAAAGCAACTCACATTACCGTTACTTTTCAGGGAGCAGCAGATGGAAAAGAAAATAGCCCCAAAGGAGGAGAGATTTCTGAACAGATTCGCAAAGAAAGAAAACAAGTAGAGAGCTGGGGAAATGCTGATCCTTCTCGCTGCGGTTGGAAAACAACAGCAGTTAATGAGCCAAAGAGAAAAAAACTGGGCTGAGCTGACAGGTTGGTAAGAAGCAGGTGCTGATCTAAATCTATAATATAATAGGATTACCACTCTTTCTAAGTAGGCAGTAATTATAATTGATGATAATTTGTTGTTGCTTGTTTTATTTATTTCAATGTGTATGCCCCTGAGTACATACAAATTCTTTTTGCATGAGAAAATCTCCTAATATAATAGCTAAGTAAATAAAGGGCATTTTTTTCTGAGTTAGCCAGAATAATCTCCACATGTAGGAGATGTGATAAAACAAGGTGGGGTTCCTAGTAGGACTGCGGCAGGCCCTGCAGCCATGTGCACTGGAATGAATGGGAAATGAGACCGGAATGTCTCACTAACCATTAATGAGGCAGCAGCAAGACACTATAGCCCATGAAAACAATGTTTTTAAAAATACCAACATGCTAGTTCCACAACTCCCTAGGGATCTTAAGCACAAGTCACGGAGCTAGAAAAACGTATCGAAGAGGGATGCAGCCACTTTTTCTTCAGAATAGAAAGATGACTTTGGAAGGCACACCAGGGAAATCAGTAAAAGGAAGGAGGAGAATGCACTTTGAAGTGACCTCAAAACCCTAGAGACAGAAGAGGAGAAATTGGTAGAGTTCAGACTCCCTATCTTTGACAAACTGCAAGAAAACGTGCCCATTTCCTTCAAGTAAATGGATGCACTTCTGCAGTGGCAGGCTGCTTAGGGGATGCACCTGCCTCTGAACGCTTATCAGGAATAATTCTGAATTTTTGTGTTGCAGCTGTCAGCTCTTTTTGAAAAGCAAAGCAGACTCCTTTCTTCAAACAAATGAGGATTGCCACCATCTTGGTGATGGCCCATTTGAATGCCATGAATTCCTCCACGTGCTAGGGAGGGCCTGGAGCTAAAGGGGACACTGACAGGCCTTTGTTCCTTACCTGTACCTTAGCCCCACACTCACATGTGAGGGGGGACACACAGAACCCCCTTGCTGCTGTGCTGTCTACGCAGCCTGAGCACTTTCCTCCAGGGACTATGTAGAAGCAGAGAAATGCTTAAGAGCCCTAAGTTCTTCAACCCTAAGGGATAAACTGAAGGGAATACAGCTCATCTTCCTCCTTGAATGGTGGGGAATAGAGAAAATGCTATTATTTCTAGGCCTTATAGTGCGGGAAAGAACACCTGACAGCTCCATGCAATGGCTTCATTTGAACAAAGCGAAAGACAAGGTTGACTGGAGCCCAGGACAAGGGAGCAGTGGGAACAGTGTTGGACCTCTGGCAGACCATGCAGCGGTTCCCGGCCAGCCGCCTGGGGCAGGAGCTAAGCCTGGGTAAAAGGAGGCATGTCTTGCCTGAGACACTAGCCCTAATTGAATAACCACTGCTGTGCTGAATATTACAAGAGACATGGATAGTTTAATTAGTTGTTTAAATGAGTGGCAAGAAATTGTACTTACCCAACAGGCTTTTCCCCTTGCTCAGCTTCTGAATTCTGTTCATTTCATTTTGGCAAGGGAGACCTAAAAAATAATTTATGAAAGTCAGTTTCCAGATGGTGTGGGATATAATCTCTAATGATTGACTTCACTCTCGACGTGAAATGTAGACAATGACACACCTGGGAGTGGAGCTGTTCCATATGCTGTCACTATGCAGCAAAACAAATCCAGGCCATTAGTGTTACTAATTAAAGAACAAAACAGCTCATACCACGAGGTACTTAAAATAGTACTTGGGGTATACTTGCATTGTGCAGTCATTTTTCTTCCTACCACCAACTCATGCAAAAAAACCAGGTGTCTATGAGCTGGAAACTAGGGCTGATCAATGGGGAAGTGTTCTGAATCCACTAACCAGAGATGGCAAATACCTATCCCAGGTCTTGCTGCAGGAGAGAAAGAGGATCAGAATGGCTACTTGAAACCTCATGGCTTACTACCGAAGAAAAGCAAAACACACACCCCCGGAGAGAGGCAGCAAACTGCGTACCAGTCTGCAGTTGTACAATGTGTGTCGTATGAACCAGCAGGAACCCACCAGTTCTCAAGGCAAAGGTGTGTGTGTGTGGGGGGTGTTGAAGCGTGTTGACCTCCCAAGAGAACTTACTTCTACTCCAATTAAAGTGAAAAGTGACCTCATGAGTTCTGTCATGACCTTCTTTTGCATATCTTGTGGCTCCAGGAGGTTCTAGTATCTGCTCATGGTCCTCCTGGCACTGGCAGAGTTGTCTGGGCTCTTACCTGTGGCTCATGCTGCCTTTATATGCAAGTGTGGGGCTCGAAGAAAAAGTATCTAAGCACCTGTTTACATCTGTTACCCGGCGGATGGCACAACTCACCTGCTCTTGCTGCTTGAGAGAGAAACCTGTTGTAACATTCATTTTGTAGACTCCTATTTTAAGATGCTTTCAGAATAAAGGGGAACGATACCAACTGAAAATGGCAGAAGGAGAGACACAGATTCTACCTGGATTATAAAAGGTGGGGGTCCTGGCTTACCCTACCACTTGCTGAAAGAGTTGCCTGTCCAGAGATGCCCCAGGTGACCAGCTCTGAGTCTTGGTTAAGGGACTATGCAACCTTACTCTCAGGCCTGGCATTGTACATCCAATAACACACAAATCTGCTTTTATATGAACCCAGGCTTAATGCTGAATCACTAAGAAAAGAGAAAGAAATGAAGTATAAAAAATGAAAATGAGAATTATTACTTACAGCTATGATTACACACCTGAAAAGTCCAAGCAAACCAACCAGGATAACTTACAAGCAAAAGGAGAATTTGGTAAGGTGACTGGGAACAGAATTAATGTTGAAACCACCACCAATGAGGGCATACAATGGGGAAAAAAAGCTATTTCAGTTACAAAGATAACAAACCCAAGAGAAGTTACAACATCTATGAGAATCAAAGTTAAAATGTAAACTCCACTGGCTGATACACAGATCCTGTTCTAAGGTAAAAGGGATTCGGTATTACATAAGTCTCAATTCCCACCTGATTAATTTTACCTGATATGAAAAAAAAAAATGAAACTTTTTGCTTAACTGGACAAACTGATTCCAAAGTTCACGGAGGAAAACAATCATATCTGAATATCCAAGAAAATGCTGAGCAAAGATTAATGGTAGCAAAGGACAGCCCCACCAGGTATTAAAACAACTATGATTTAAATACTTTTTACAACTGATTTATGAATAAATAGGATAGATTAATTCAGAAATAGATATAAACACATACAGGGTTTATATATACCACATACATAAAATGGAAGCTGTGTTTCAAGTTGAAGTTAGAAACTGGGTTAGTCAAACTGACAGGAGGGCACTGGGTGCTATCTCCAGGGCAGAGGAGGGGTTGGGACCCACACAATCCAGAGTGATACAGGATTTCTATAACAAACACATTGAATTGTTTTACCATCTTCAAGTGAGAAATACCTTTCTAACCTTAATGTAGGCTTTATGGCATCTTAGAAGCCAAAAATAAAAGATGGAGAAATTCAACTATCTTAGAATTTTATATTTCTCCCTAGTTAAAAGCACAGAGTTGAATTTGGAAACAAAAATTTGTCATACCTCTGCCTAGAAAAGCTTCAATTTCTTTAATACAGACTTTCCTACTAAAAACAAATACAAGAGCCTAATAGAAAAAAATGTACAAAGAACATACAGATATATCAAGGAAATTCAAGATGTACCTAACTCATAGTGAGAAATATTAACAAAATAGAGCCCACAAGGAGATGTGATTTCTTTCCCCTCCGGGTGGCAATGATCACAAAGTAATGCCAGGAAGAAATAGGTAATCTTATATATTTTTGGTGAGAGTAAAAATTGGTCGAACCTCTAAGGATGTTAAATTGGAAACAGTGCTCAAATTTAAAAAGTCACATGCCATTTGGTAATTCTGCTTCTAGGAATGGAACTCATAATTCTATAAAGGAACACATGAGTACCTACTTTTCCCTGGATGCCCTCTTGTAATGCCTACATTTCTTGTTGTATGTGTGCACTGTCGATGCATATATATAATCCAAATAATATTGGCAGCCATGCCTGTGGTATGTTGTCCCAAATATCTGGCTCATGCTGGAGCTTGGGATAAAGATGCAGGCCAGACTCTGCTGGTCCCATTACCTGCGGCTGCCATACCTGGGCCTGCCCCACAGGAAGGCAGAGCCTGCCTGATGCTGTGCTCCTGAGCATCGTCCTGTCTGAGTCCCCCTGCAGGATGACTCTCCTGCCTGACTCTGGGTGACATCAGACACCCTGGTCTCCCCAAATCTTGCATGTTTCTTTCCTTAACTGAAGTTTATTTAGGACCAAAATATCCTTGTCTAGGGCACTCACCTAGACATAGTGACCTAGACACTCACCTAGACATAGTATACCTCCATACTACTAATCCTAGAGAAAGCTGACAAATGGCTTTCTCTAAGGGAAACATGGTAATTTTCACATTGAGAGTCTCACAATGACCTTGGGAATTATGAAGTTTTCTGTATCCATTTTACAGATGAAAAAACAGACTATATAGTTAAGAGATTTTCCCAAATGGACGAATAGACTGAAACAACAGACTTCTTGGGTTTTCTAATACACCACGTTCAAAGTGAAAATAAATTAGGAGAAATGGACCATTGGGCTTGCCATTAGATGGGATGAATTCTGTACGTTCTACCTGCATGGGTGTCCTGGGCTCTGGACCCCACTCCCTTCCCTGTGGCCTCACCTCCAGGCTTTTGGAAGCAGTAGCACCACTCATTGTTAGAGAGTTTTCCATCCTTGAAAGAGTCGCAGGAGTTGAAGAGAGGCTTGATACAGGGCTCATACTTATCCAGGTAGATGGCATTGATCTCTGAGTGGTCAAGTAGAAGGTCATAGTTCATGTCCAGCTTGTTGAACATCCAGCCCAGGGAGTCCTTGCAGATGGGCAGGATGCTAGTGTCAAACCCTGCCAAGGAAAGGAAAGGCACAGCTCAGCTGCCACCAAGCCTCCCCCATGAAGAAGAGGCCAAAGCCCACCCCTTCCTGCTCCTCCCCGGAAGCTGTTTCCTTCCCGGAATACAGTTCCAGTGGCATCTCTAGAATATTTGGTGTTTGTTGTTTTTCAAATGAAACAGTTTAAAATGCACTAAAACAGAAGCCAGCATTTGAGCAAAATATGTTCTAAAAACAAATCCCCAATGGTAATTTATCTGGGATGTTAATATGGCTTCTCATTTACTGAACTTGCTTAAAATGACGTATGCCTAAAAGAATATAAACATGGTGACTGAGAGGTAAAACTTAGAATACTTAAAAACTATGCTTTCATATCTAGGGAAAAAAAATTTGAAAAACCCAAACAAAATCTTTTAAAAAGAACAGCAGTGAAATGAAACAGCACAGCACAATCCAGAAGCGCTGATTACATCCCAGAGGACCACTGGATCCCAGCCGTCTCAACAGTAATGGCAAAACACGCCAGGTACCTGCCTCTGTTCCCCATTCTTCTTTTCTGAAATCCCCTAAAGAGACACATGAGATGGAATCCAACTCAACTCAGACAATTTCTTTCTTATTTCCCTGGGGGAGGAGTAGTTTTCGTAAAGAATTATTTGTTTTCACGATGGAAACTGTAAGCACTTAGCTTAGCACTAGGGACACTGAGTCCACTGGAGACAGACCCCAGAGAAGGCAGGCCCTGGTCTAAACTCGTCTTTGAGGGCACCATGCAGTTTCAGGTTACTGCATAAACTGGTTTTCTGGGACTGGCTTTATGTTCCTGGAATACTGATGATAAAAATTAACTTTTGTGTTGCTGTATATAGAATACCTTCCTAAGGACTTTATACTTATCTCAGTGAATCCTTGTAGACAGTCCTATGAGATGGTGCTGTATCATCTCTACTTTACAGATAAAAAATAAGGCTTGAGTTACTTGCTCAAGGTGCTACAATTATAGATCTGGCATTCAGACCCAGGCAGCCCAATCCTGAGTCTAGATTTGCCAAGTCTCCTCTCCCAGGGCTGCCTTCCACCTTCCTTGACCTTGCTGTCCTGCGGCTATCCACTTGGCTTAAGGTCCACATTTGGAGAGGGGCAGTGACGACAGTGGAAGATCTGAGGAGTCCATGGCCCCCTCCAGCAGTTCCTACCTATGGCCCAAGTCACTGGGTCCCTACGTGTGTCACCGGGAACTCCTGCTTAGTCAGTGGGATATAAGATGCAGCCAAGTGCACCCACCCTTATAAAAGCAGTGTCTTTATAGAAAGGTCTTAATTCACTGCCTTCTGGACAGTGAGGACTTAGGTTTAGCACCTCCTCCTCTGAGCTCTCACAGGACCCTGTGCTTCCCTCCTCATCAACGCTTATTAATTAGATGAGAAGAGAAGCTCCCTGAGGGCACAGACTGTCTTGTCTCCTTCGGTAGCTTCAGCCTGGTGGGCACGTAGTAGGCACATAGAAAACACGTGTTGTGAGTAGTTTTCTGTAGAGTTTACCCCTTTAAACAAAATATTTCCATTTTCCAATGTATTTCTATATCTTAGAACACACCTTAAAAATATCCCCTTTTTTCCCAGAAGAAAGGCTATGGGACATCATGATTGTCAGTGTGTCCGAGATGGTGTGCTCAGGCACTACTGAGTGAGGACAGATGGTTCACTCTGGCACTATATAGATCCACACTTTTGCATAGCATGTATCAATTTTATAGGATATTGACATTTTAAGGGAAAGTAATTTACCCTGATACTGCATGGTTCCACACTTTTAGGTAGCATATTTTATATAATATGCATCAATTTTATAGAATATTGACATTTTAATACAGAGGAAAGGGGAAGTTACTGCTGACTGGTCACCAAAAAGCAGCGCAAAGCTGGTTAGTCAGCAGTCAAAAAGTTAACCTCCCCCTCACCGGAAAGGTTTCCAGAAAAGGGGTACCTGTGTCTGGCACCTGTGGTTGCCTGGGGCCCAGGGGGAAGCAGAATGGCTCCCTGGTCAGCCCTGAGAGGAAGGACAAGCAAGGTTCCCGGGCTTTCCCTGCAGGGCTCCTGGATTAGCAAAAATGCTCCCTCCTCTGGCTGCCTGAGCTAAGGAAACATCATCCCTTTGCATTCTTGTCACTCCAGCTGCTGCAGGGTATCAAACCTAAAAGGCTCTTCAGGGATTCAATTTGCTTCTGGCCAAGGGCAGGTCTTTCAGAGAACTCACAGGGGACCAGAGGCTGCAGGGAGCAGCTCTCCTCACATCAATCTGCTCCTTGTTGAAAGGTTGTTCAGAAAGCCCAAGGGCCAGGCTGCTCCCGGAGGATCCAGGAGAAAGTTTCTCTAACCATCCGTGAATTAATTACCCACAAACTCCCAAGGAACCTCTGCAGGGGGCGGGAAATCTGCACAGACACAACAACCAAGACCACTCTCAGTATTGGCTCCTTAGAGTCTCGTGCTCTGTTTCCCTTAAGGTAAAAGATCCAAATTATTAAAATAATTGTCTCCTGCATTGATTTTCTCCACTGATATCTCTAGAACACTATAAGGAGATTGTTTTTATTCTGGCTGAAGACCAAATGCTAGTCAAAGGCTGGACCCAACCATTGCTGATGTAACTTCTCATCTACTGCATTTGATTGGGAGTGTCGCTTTCAGAAACTCTGCCCAAGCACAGGTGGGATCAGGGGTGAAATGCTCAATGTTTTAAACATGTGTTTCTGTATTTTGACCTAGTAATCTCAAAATGGCTACATAGGAAAGGCAGCGGCAAAGCTACGTGCATCTGAACCACTGTGTTAGTAATCTGTGCGGATCGGCCAGTGTGGAGACGCTCACACCCTTCACCACCTTGGAGTTAAAAGCATCGAAGAGACTCCAACAAACTGCAAATCCGAGGGCCCACCTGAGCTTTCTGTTCAGCTTAGCACAAAACTGAGTGTGGCCTCTGCTAGCTGAGCAGCTGAGGCCAGGGGGAGGCTCCTTGAGGAATCTGCACGTTATGGACAGGGGAGGGAGACACCTGGCTGGGACTTTCTCTGGAAAACAAAATGCAGTCTATTGTCGTTATCAAAGATATCTGCTACAGTGTTGCTTATATTAGCTTAACACTGGCAACAACCCAAATGAGCCAAAAAAAGGTTGAATTAAATAGTTATATCTGTAATTGGGATTCTCTGTAGCTATTACAAAGAGAATACTACTCAGCAGCATGAAAAGATAGTCATGATATATTTCTAAATGATGATAAAACATAAAACTGTAAAGTATATAATTATACACACACTTTCCTGTATGACAAGGAAGAAACCCCAAGGTATATAGCCACAGCACGCTCATAGTTGTTAAAATGGTGACATTTTCTCTATAATGTATTTCCCAAAACGTCTACATACTAAATATATTTTTAAAAGCCTGATTTAAAAAATATAAGTCGTATTTTTTTCTTGATTCTAAAGCATCTCCCCCTTCTACATATTTTACTATTTCTGAGACTGAGACACATTTAAATGTGCACATTTAATAGTGTTTCTTTTTTCACCCTAAACTGATGTTACTAAATCAACGTCTAATAATTGAGGAAATATGCCATTTAAAATGAAATACGTGAGCAAAAGTAAAGTGGCCTTACTGGCTTGGGCAGTGTCAGAGCTGGTAGGCTTGATGACTCTGTTGGCGTCCTCATGAAGAGCTCCAAACCAGTCTTTCAGCCGGGACGCCAGGTTCCGCAACTCCTTGTCTGTGCAGGCTGCGAAGAGCAAGCAGAACATTCTATCAGTCTGTGGCTTTCTGCCCTAAGTGTGCGAGGCAAGGCTACCAGCAAAGCCATGTTCGAAGCAGACCTCCCCATCCAACCGTAATAGAATCCCACCCCCACTCTGAAAACACCCCAGAGGATGCTGCTATCACAAGTAAAGAGCATGAGAGAGAGAGCCCAGACTTCCAGGGCAAGCAGCAATTGTTCAGAACTTGAATTTGGATGGCCTCCGAGCTATAAAAGTGAGCTACAGTGGTGTCACAGCTGTGCAGTGTCCTCCAAGGATCGTCACGGATCCCTTCTGCTACCAGCATAAAGCTTGCTGTTGCAGTTTTGCCAGAGAAGATTACATTTCCCACTAAACTCATGCCAAGAGATTAACATGCAGGAATAGCTAATGCTCTTAGGGAGAGGCTGCCTAGGACACCAAAAGATCCTAGTAATAGCAGACTCTTGAGTTTGTTTTAGCCCAAGGTTTGGATGTGTGGATTTGGTCTATGTTGCTTGGCTTCCTATGGTCTCGTTTTCACTTTCCACTATAAGTGAATGGATGCCTTATCCATGAAAGAGTCCTTTCTATCTCAGGCCATCTTAGCTACCCAGCTCATCTTGTAGGGTAAGACAGAGTCCCTGGGGCATACGGATTCTGCTCCTGAGAACAAGAACATCCAGACAGACGGGTGGGCAGGAGAGGAGGTGGGCACAAGTTATCGGAAGGTCTCTTACAGTGCTGAGGTCAGACTTGAGGGAAGATGGCACAGAGAAGGGAGCTGACTTTCCCTAGCCTCCCCCATCCCCAATTTTCCCTCAGGGTGTACCCTAAATCTGGATACTTAGAATCCCAGGGAAGGGTCCAGGCACAAAAGATACAGAAAAACAGAAATGCATTTGGTGACCTTTAGCATCTGGAGAGACAATTAAAGACCTGAGAGCCCAAAATTCTAATGAGTTAAATGGGACAAAGAACTAAACCTCATAACTGTCACTTTTCCCAAATTCTAAAGCTACAAAACCAAGCAGCTAAGGAGTTAAGCAAAAATGCTATTACAATGCAGAGTCAAGTTCTGAACGTCTCATGGTGCTGAGCAGACCCAGGTTAGGGCTCTGAACCTGCCAGGATGGAGGGAGCCCAGAGGACAACGCAAGCTCGCCACTGGTCCACTGGAAGCCCTGTGGGTGGCCCTGGAGGAGAATTAGATGGCGTCTCGCCAAAACTCCAAACCAGCCTTCAATCAGCACAGGGCCTGACCGAATTCAGGTGATCGGTCCCCATGTGTCTGCCTTGCAAAGGACCAGGTGAGGACCTTCTTCCTCTCCAGAAGAAAATAGTACCATCCAGACTTTCTCATTGTTATAATCTGTGTGTCTGCACTTGATGGACCACCCAGCATCCCAGACCTCAAGCAGGAAAGGTCTCTCCCCACTCTGCACACTAGAGGTGAGGTGGCCTGACCGGGCTAGGTCTACACAACCTGAGCCACATGCCTTTACAAGTGTGCTGCCTTCGTCCCTGCTACGATCCAGACCCCAAACTCTGCAAAGCACAGGATGAATGTGTCTCCAGTGTTTCTATCCAAGTTAATGACCTCAAGACATGGTGTTGCTTTTACCAACCAAGGCTTACTGTATTTTAAAACACCAGCCAGGAAATGGCATTGAGAAATGTCTTGGCAGCAGAGTATGACAGCTCAGGAGTCACACTGCCTGGAACGAATGCCAGCTTTGCCACTCACTGATGGGTGACCTCAGACAAGTCACGTAACTTCTCAGCACCTTGACTTCCTTATCTGTACACTTGGAATGATATCATCATATGACTACAAATCAGAGAATGTGTGTAAAGTTCCTAACAAAGTACAGGATATATGGTACCTACCCAGCATGTACCAGCTATGGTTTTTACAATTATTTTTAATTAAAGATTTATGGGTAACCTTAGAACTAGCATCATAGCATTCAGAGAACCAATAAGACAGACAAAACTAAATTACTTCATTCACACAGGAAATTGGTAAAAATGGATATTTATACTATCCCATAAATTGCCGTTAGCCTTATATGGCTATTTAAATTTATTAAAATTTCATTCCTCAGTTGCACGACCCATTCCAAGTCCTCAGCAGTCACACATGGCTGGTGACATCCACATTGGAAAGCACAGAGGCAGGAAATTCCCACCACGGCAGAATGCCAGACTGGGCAGCCCTGGGTGAAATCAGCAAACTTTCTGGAAGTTCATCATGATCCCCTGACACCCATGTTTGTGCCTCTACTCAGACTGGTCCACAGGAGCAGTGATGCTAACACACTTATGGCCCTGGCTTAGAGCTTCCGGAGGGATGTGGTGCTCACTTTTCTGATCCTGCGCAGCTGTAAGTAGGCAGGGGTTGAGGGAGACGGGGCACAGGCTGTTTTAATGAAGGAATAGGATACTGTCAAGTGCACATTTGAAAATGCAAAATTAATAGCATCTATTTTTTCTCTATCACCATGCACACCATGTATTCTAAATATTCTATGAGCAGAGAAAATTGCCAAGTCAACTTTCAGAGGACATCTCACACCGCAAGATAAATTAGTCAGTCCTGTGTAACCAAACCCTGACATATGTGCAGGTAATCTGTATCTTCATAAGCCTGATGAGTTTTCCACAGGCTTCTTGATGACCACAGGCCTTGGATGGCTGATGGAAGCAGGCACTGGCATCTGGAAAGAGTAACTGTGCCACTCAGGGACAAGTCCACAAGCAGGGAGCTGTTGGTGTGGGTCAGGAGACAGGAGATGGGAGGCACTCAGTTACTGGGCCCCCGTCCTCTCTCAGCGTCCTCCACCCAATGGTCCTCATAAGGAAAAAACCAAGCGCAGACTGCCTGGAGCTTGATTTGCCCCAGAGAAAAAAAAACATCAAAACAACGGCCTTCTGAGAGCTCTGTGCTTAGACTTGGCGTTCCAGCCGCAAGACACAGGCTGCCAATGGGAGAAAAGTTCCTGCCTTTTAAGGTGCCCATCACTGTCCCAGATCACAGTATGACCTGGGGATTGATGCTTTTAGAATTGGGAGACCCAAAGGCCACATCCCACATGCTTAGTTCCCTCCGAGGGAAAAGTAATTTTTTTTGTGGGAAGAAAGCCACAAAACCACATCCCCCTGCCACCCTGGCTCTCTGGCGTCAGGTGGGCCAACCTTGTGCCTTCTGGAGAGGGGTCCTGATGCCTCTCCACACGTCCTGGCGAGAGCAGCAGGGAGCTCAGGCCACCAGCATCCGACTCTTTGGAGGACACGGTGGTGCCTGCTTGGGAGAGTGTCGGTTTAATCATGAACATTGAAACTGGGACCCAATTTCTATTGTCATTACATTGCCCCACTGGGTGGACATGTACCAGCTAGCCCTCACTTTCTCCCACATTCAATTATAGTCCTACCCTATGCCCTGGTTTCAGCTCACTTTTAATTGCTCTCGTTCCCACACCAGTCTCTGCTGTCTGCCCAGCAGCCTCCTTCTGAAGGATGGTCCCTATCCACCTTCTGGTTCCCACAGGTCACTGCACGTCTTTCTTACATGGTGTCCATCTGCCCCAACAGGCTGGTTTGTGGGCAGCATCTCTGGGATCCATTCTCCCCCCCCACCCTGGTCTGTGCCTCCTCCTGTCGTCAAAAATGGTACCACCACGTACTCTTGTCCTCAGACACGCATTGGGGACCTATCCTGGATTTCTCTGTTGTCTTCTCCCTCCCTATCAGGTGGCCACAGAAATGCTCGCTGCTTCTTGCTATCTCCACGGCCTTTGTTCTGGTCACTGATGCCATTGTTACCTCCCACTAAAACAACTGGCACAGCCTCCTAATTGGTCCCTCATCTTGCTCCCCACATTCCCTTGTCCATCCAGCAGCCAGAGTGATCTTCCTAAAATTGACATTTGATCAAGTCCCTCTCTTGCTTCAGCTACACTTCTTAGGCTCCCCGTGACTCTGGAAGTCTAAACTCTATAACGGGACGTGCAGGACCCATAGCCTGAAGACCTCCCAGGCTTCTCCTGCGTCCTCTCCCCTTCAGCCTCCGTGCTCTGGCCGTGCTGCCCCCCCCACTCTTCCACCTGGATACACCTCTCCTGGTAGCCTTGCTAGTGCCGATTCCTCCAGCAGATTACAAATTTAAAGTGACTTCCTACTCCTCAGAGTACTGAGTTTTCCCTTTTCTGTGCTCCCAATGCCCTCTCTTCGATGGCATTCATCATCCACCTGTAATTTCTGACTCAGAGCCCATCTTCCGTCCAGATCACAGCGACATGAAACGAGCACTGAGGGGCCAGCATCGAACGCAGTCAGTTTCTGGCATGAAGGCTGCTCTAGATGCATATCTATTGACTGCGTATAACCACCCCGTTGCTGCCTTTTGAAAACTTCAATTTTTCCATCTGCAAAATGGCATAGCCTAACTGCACAGAATAAGATGAGAGTAGTAAAACATAGTTCACAGCTACTGGCATATAGCAGGAACTCAATACATTCATGTTCTCCTTCCCATATCCCAACTGTCTACATAGTAAGTTACAATTTTGAAATGCTTTTGGTAAGCCTGAGGAGATGCTTGTGATATAAAGATAACCTCTCTCCTTACTCATTTCATAGGTGGGTATTACTCTGACAAATTCAGGTCGGTTTCTGTCTGCCTCCTCCCAAGTACAGAAGATCCACAAGGTGAGGATTGGTCTGACTTCCCCACATCTGCATGGGGGGAAAGCTGGCACTTTCCCTAGGGTGGTATGCAGTAGTTGTTCAGAATATATTTATGGAAAGAAAGCATGAATGAATGAGCACGTGGACTACCAACTCCCAAAGTTGAATACCTATGACATGGTGGAGACGGGATTAGAATCAGGCTGTTATCTTTCTTGCTGGGCCGTCCCTGCAGGCGGGACTGGCTTTTGGGTAGCTAGCACCAACTTACCAAGTAATATATTTGGTTCATACACTGGGTTGGAAAAAAACACAACTCAGGCCCTCAGCTGTGAAGGAAGCTCTGCCAGCTATGCAGGTGAGGTGGCTGGCTGAGCAGCACAGGACGAGGGGCAGCAAGTAAGGCTCTTGCCTTCATTAGGTTCAGTGTGAGGACAAGGATGGACTGCCAACAGCCCGTTGCATGTGCCTCCTGTACACCCGCTGGGGCTTCCTTAGAAAAGAGCACGGTGCCATTCATTGCACATTACTCCAAAATGTGAAAAAGGACAGCTCTCTCCCCAAGGAGAACACAGTGCTCAGGCAGAGAAGGGCCCAGGTAATTTGCTGCTCTCCCAGAGGGCTTTTCCTGTCTGTTTGGAAAATACGAATAAAATCCAATGAGCAGGTGTAAATAAGGCACATGCAGTCTCCGTTGAAGGTATATTGTGATCATTTTTTCCATCTGGGCACCTTTGTCCCCCTCCATCCAAGGCATGGAGGTTAAAGGGCTTTAAGCTAGACTGGATTTGAATGCAGACAGTGTTTAAGCAAAGCCCGGAGGACAGCAGCAGTGACCCGGCTGAACAAAAGTGAGAGGGAATTACTGTTGCCTGTACTATGGACAGAGATGGCTTCTCTGCAGCCTGGTGAGGTTACAGGTAAGGGGCTGGAACCCATTAGGATTTGCTTATGGGGCAGTTAGACTCCCAGGTAGTGGTACTTGGGGGAGAGGGGCTGCTTCCTAACTGAATATGTGTCAGTAGTCTGGCTCTGCCTGCCCCTGGGCCCCATCCTCCCTCTGACAAAGACAAGGGCTATTAAAGAGCTGCTGAGGAATTTTCAAAATAGTTAATGGTTTTGAAAAAGGAGACATAGAAGCTAGGAAATCCAAACTTCTTTGAAAAGTGCCCCCAAAGTCCACAATGGGTATTCCACACTGGTGTATGCTTATTGATAACTTTGGGGGCTGAATGACACTCTAAGAAACCCTTTTAAAAATTACATAGAAACAAATAAGGAAACAACTGGAGGTATAAAAAATATCTCCAAGATGAGAGATGACATAAAAAATGGAGGTGAGGAAAGAGGACAGAAATTCCTATTCAAAGCAATAGTGTTACAGAGTATAATAGAGTGACGGACCTTGAGCAAGTGTGAGCGAGTGACTCTCTGTGTTAGAAATCCTAACTGAAGACACTTTGAACACCCAACTGGGGATGTCTGAAAATGGCAAATCTGACACATAGCATCATAGGTTATCTGTAAACCTCTGCGAGGGAACCAATTACTGGTATACCCTTGTCATGCATGAAATCTTTCAGCTAAAGAACCAAATGAAAAAAGTATACACCCCCAAACCCTGGCACATGGACCCATCTCCCTCTCCCACCTTAGCCTCACCAGTGCTTATGTCAGGGCTCTGATAGAGGCTAATATGAAAACAATCCAAATTTGATTTAACCATTAGTGCCTCCAAAGATAATTAAAGAATTGGGCCAGACTCAGGTCCTCTTTGGGAGCAGGCTGGGAGGCCTTTCAGAAATGAAGACTTGGTGCTACTGGTCTTTTCAAACAAACCACCTTCAGCCCTCCTAGGTGCTGTTATGAATAATTACTTAATCAGAGCAGCACTGGATTCATGCATCAGAGTGTCTGCAATTAGCTCCTGTAAAAGGTCCAGCTGAGCCTCCTTTAGGGTAAAGAGTTCTAGCAGACACAAGGATCCCTTTCTGAACTGCCTTGCTTTGGCTCTAGTCTTTTCCCTCCACCATGGCATTTTCAGGCTGCTGGTGGCCTGCAGCACACGGTTCCCAGCATGGGACAGTAGGCTCCTCTTCCCCTACAGAGACCAGATCCCTCCTGTCATTCCATATCGAGCACACAGCAGTGCCCCAGTGCTGGAGAAATGTTCAGGAACATGGAGGAGAGGACACTGCATGCCATAGGAGCTTAAAAGAGTGAGTCTACAATTCCCTTAAGAATGTGGGCTCTGATAAACTGGAATACAAATAGGTGAGAGTTGATTCTGCTTAGCACAGTTTTAGCAATAACCAGAGTCATTCTGCTTTAAAAGCACCCTGGGGAGACAGGCAAGAGTAAGCAGGCTCTGGAGAAAGAGCTTAGTAGAGATCCTAGCTAAGGCTATGGAGGAGTTACTTTCTAATCTTCAGTTTCCTCATCTGCAGAATGAAGGTGATAACAGAACCTGCTAATAGGATTAGGGGGGATATGAAAATGTGCTCAAGTCCTCAGCACCCTGCTTGCCACACAGTAGCACGGCACACTCAGCAGCTATTGGCTGTGATCTCATTCGTGGTTGTGGACACCAGGCAGCACGCTGATTCACCAAATAGGAAAGCATGGAATTAAGAACATGCATGTGGTCTTTTCATATGAAATGACTGTATGAAGCCATCCAGCAAGATATGAATCTCCTCTGTTGTTTTTCAAAGAAGTCAGATCTCTCCCAGATCCTACAGATGGTACCTCAGTTTTGGCATTTATCAAGTCAGTTCTCTTAAATAGAGGTTCACTCACCTGTCACCACCTCAGGTTTCCCAAAGGTACCTTGATATGCCTTTCCATCAGGCACAGTGAGGGCTTTCCCGTAAGATAAAGAGCATGCACCAATAACAAGCAGTGAGGCTGATGCAATAGTAGAAAAATCTCCCCCAAAAAAGAAAGACGCAGACCACATGGAGTCACAGGTGAATTTTATCAGACCTACAAAGAACTGGCACCTATCCTATAGAAATTATTCTTCCATAGCATTGAGTAGAAGGGAAACCTTCTTGATTCAGTCTGTGAAGCCATTATCACCTTGATACCAAAGCCAGGAAGGGATGTAACCAAGAAAAACAAAACTACAGACCAACATCCCTTATGAGCATTGGCACAAAAATCCTCAACAAAATACTAGCAAACTGAATTCAACAACACATTGAAAAGATAATTCACTATGATCAACTGGGCTTTATACCAGGGATGCAAGGATGGTTCAACACATACAAATCAATAAACATGGTTCACCACATAAACAGAAGGAAAAGCGAAGACCATATGAACATACCAGTGGATGTACAAAAAGCATTTGATAAAATCCAGCACTCTTTCATGATAAGAAACTTCAATAAACTAGGCATAAAAGAAACATATACATTATAAAAGCCATATGTGACAAACTCACAGTCAACATCATACTGAATAGGGAAACGTTGAAGGCATTTCCATAAGAACTGGAACCAGACAAGTGAGCCTACTGTCACCAGTTCTATGGAAAACACTATAGAGATTCCTCAAAGAGCTAAAGGCAGACCAATCAACTGATCAAGGCTGATCCAGTCAACTCAGGAATGGGTATCTACCCAAAGGAAAGGAAATCATGTTATCACAAAGAAAGACACCCATACTCAAATGTTTATCAGATCATAATTCACAATTGCAAAGATATGGTATTAACCTAAGTGTCTATCCCTTCATGAGTAAAGGAAAGGTGTTATATGTGTTACATGTATATATGTGTGTACACACACACACCATGGACTGCTAGTCAGCCATAAAAAGGATGAAATAATGTCATTCATAGCAACTTGGATGGAACTAGAGACCATTATTCTAAGTAAAGTATCTCAGGAATGAAAAAACAAACACCACATGTTCTCACTAATAAGTGGGAGCTAAGCCATGGTGCACATGGGCACAGAGAGATGTAAAGGAGATTGGAAACTAAGCAGTGGGGAGGGTGGGAGGGGGATGAGGGATAAAAACCTTGCGGGCACAATTAACACTATCCTGGTGGTTGGCACACTGAAAGCCCTGACTTCAGCATTATACAGTGTATCCATGTAACAAAAATATTTGTACCCCCTTAATAAAAAAAAAAAAAAAGCATGCACTTGAGTGTAGAGGTTGGGACCACGCTGCCTTCAGCCCTGGCTATGGACAGCAGCCCCCAGTGTTCCTCAGGCAACTCCCTGCTCATCTCTGAGCCTCAGCTTTCTCATCTGTAAATGGGAATAATGACTGTGGTGAGGATTTGGCTTTCAGAAACCAACCGGCAGCCACTCTCTCTCCCCTTCCAAGGAACTTCAGGAGTTGGTATCACTCCCCTTGACAGACTAATAGATAAGCTCCAAGCCATAAGCAGTTTCAGTGACAGAACATACAACAGGGCTTACTGAAGGGATTTAAAAACATACACAAAATGAATTCCATTTCTAATTAGAGATCATCTAACACAGATCTAAGCTAAGTTACCACTGCTCAAATTAAATTGTGTTATACGAAATTCCACTTTTTACTTTTTAGTGCCTAAAACCTCAATATATATGTATATTCTCTTATCCTTAGAGACTGCATCATTTCATGTAAAAACAGGCACGAGCAAAGGAATTATTCAGGAGCTTGCTAATAAAGTACTTCTTAAAAAGCAATCTTTGGAAGAGTTTAAAATACTGACATTAAACTTGGAAAAAGATGAGTTAAACTAATTAATGGTACAACCTACAAGCGAAGATGGATAAATTTCCCTATTAAACCCATTAAGACTATTCTTGGTAACCTGATTTGAAGAGATTTTAATGTTTCCCTTGATTCTAATGATAATCTTTCATGTGGAAAAAGAAATACATTTAGAACTTGTATAACATTTGTAAATGTGCATTAGTGGAGTAACACTTTTTTTTTCCCCCTGAATAATCTAGAGCAGGAAGGTTAGTTAGATGAAATAAGCTTTTAAAGCTTCTCATAAAATCCACAGCCTTTTCCACACTCTGGGGGAAAAAAATCATTGAATATGCAAAATATTAGTTAGAAATGCCAACTCTGGCTTTTAATTGTGCTTCCTAGCCGGTGGGTCAGCGTTGCCCTACATGGGAGACCTGGAATAGATTAGCAACATTATAACCAGCAGTTTTGCTGAAAGATTTCACAGCCCACCAGACTTTTTAGGCTTTTAACTAATAAAGACTAAAAACTGGAGAAATGACAACTGGTGTTCTCACTTAAGGTCAGCAGGGGCAGGTACACTAAGACAAGGTGCAGGAAACAGGCTCCACCTGGACTACTGAGAAAGCCAGGGGAGGGCAGAGCCCTAGGGAAGGGCTGGGCTGGTGAGGGTTGGTCCCTGCTGGGCCATCCCACTCAGAGAGGCAGACTGAGTGAGAGTCACTCTGCCTTTTGTTAATGCATGAGCTCGGTGGCCTATGGTAGGCAGGGAAGGCTTCTAGGCAGAAACAGGAATCGACCTGAGGCTCATATTGCAGGGAGGACTTAGAGAGGCACAAGACATTCTAGGCAGGGCCTAGAAATGAGCCCCTTTTGAATGAAATCATTTATTTTTAAAACTTATTTATACTTAAAATTAGTTCTGCTCAAATTAAAAACACCAATTTTAGCATAATTAAATCTATTTCTAAATCTTAAATGTGTATAAAAATCATAAACATGTATGTATGTGCATAATATATGTTCTGTACATCTGTTTAAAGATATTGCTCTATATTATACATCATATTAATATATACATCCCAAGAGATGACTTCTGACACAGCTAGTACTGCTCCAGGACTGACGCATGAGCCCATGTATCTGTAAGAAGTTTTAGTGACAGAAGACATATTTTTAGGATACATAAAAGATGAATCTCCATTCCTAATAGGCAACTTGCGTCCAGTTTAACCTGCTCAAATTCAACATCCAAAACTAGGCATTATTAAACATAGTTTTAGTTTCTATTTTTATTGCCTTAGGCATCAATATATGCATGTATGTTTTTACTCATAAGATAACCTTATGTTATTATTTAATGGGGCAGAAAGCCACAAAGGATTGGTGGAGGACCATGTATGCCGAGCTTGGGATTTGAGATCAGATTCTGAGGGTGATGGGAAGCTTACAAGGTATCTGGGACTAGGGAGGCTCTTCTATTTGGGGGTGGGAGGACGACACTGGAACACTTTCATTTGCAGATGAGGTGGGGGGACCAGGAGTAGATTTAGGGCACCTAGGGAGAACCATGAGCTCCTCTTAATGCCTCACCCTACCCCACCCCAGGCCCTGGTCTACAGTGGATGATGCCATGGGCATGTGGGCTAAGGGAGGAGTGGGAACACTAACTCCTTCTTGTGACAAAGGTCCAGGGGTGCTGGAGTCTAGTGTGAGAGAGCGGAGGCAGGAGCTGGAATTTAGGCCAGAAAAGAGCAGTCCTGGAGATGCTGGACCAGGTGCTGCACTGCCATGCTTCTGGTGGACTGATTAATACAGAAGATACATCAATCAGGATGTAAGGAAGAACTGCCTCCAAAACCATAAAGGGTATCTTAGCCTATTCCACATCCTGCTCACTTCACTAGTGACTCAGCATTCTTCTCACCCTTCAGGTCACGCAACTCACTCTGTTTGTCTCCCCTGTTCCTCAGGGCATGAATCGGTGATTTGGCATGAAAAGCAGTTGGCATACGAGCCTCAAGGGACCTCCTCTGGGCTCAGAGAGGCGCTTGTGACTGGCACAGAAATGAAATATTAGCTATTTCTATTTCTAGTAAAACTGCTATATTTGATCAAAATTACCTGTTTAGAAATCCAGCATCTAACACATCAGCATGACTTAGTTCTCAATTTCTGTCTTTCCTTCCTGAACATCATATATAAACAACATAAGCAGGAAAAAAAAAAAAACAACAACAACCATAGATTTCATTCTCAGTAAAACTAGAAGAGAGATATGAGCCTGGTTTAAACAGTACAGCAGAAGCCACTCAGATGGAAATAAAAAGTAAAAGGTCCAGGTGGGCCAATAAAAAGACAAAGAAACAACAACAAACTCAGCAAAAATATGTTTCCTATTGGCAAAGAACTCCTGAAGTGGCAGACTTCTTGTTCAGCAAGAGCTAAGGGATCTGGAGGGAGGGAGAGGATGTAGATTAAGCGGAAGCTG